AGGTTACATTCGATGAGCTGTTCGAAATTAAAGGATAATTGCAATTTATATTCGATCAGCCATTTTAATTTAAACAGAACATACTAGGTTATAATCGTTCAACTGTTCTAAGAACAATTAGACATTATAAATAATGAACTAACTGATTTAAAGATAAAATACGTGATTAAAATCGATCAGCTGTTCGAGATTAAAGGGAAGTAGGAATAGAAGGAAGTAGTATCATGAAACGGATGATTACTTGCCCTATTTGTAAAAAATTAAGCTCTTACCCTGGTTGAATTCATATAGTGTTTTATTACGATGAAGAATAAGTAAGCATTATAAGAAATTAAAAAAAAAAAAAAAACTAGTTAACCTCTAGAGAGAAAAAAATACAATGCCAATCCTTTACCTTGTAAAAGCTTTATAAACATATCAGATTTGGGACGGTAGCAAAAACACGATCACCAGAAATGATGAAGCGTTTTTAAAAAAATCGTTAAGACATTTTTGAAATTAGTCCACTGCAATCTGGACCTTCCCTTCCCTTACCTCCAACTAACGCGCTGTTTACCAAAACACTCGCCAATTATCTTTCCATCTTCCTGGTTGTTGTTTTATTTTCATGCGTGTGAATTATCCGGCGTTAGGCAGTTTCACACGGCTTTATTTTTTTTCCCCGGATCGGGATTGAGCCATATTCCCAGATCCGATGCTGCGAGCTTGCACAACGGTGATGGAGGAGGGAGAAAAGCCGATGGATAGAAACGGCCCCATCCTGGAGTTCACACAACATATTGCGAAAGTTTGTGGTTATTTTTAACCGACCGATAAAGGATAAGGGACAATATGTTGACAGGATTATATGATCGAATTTTAAATAAAATTTGAAGTTTTATTTTATCAGTCGTTGGAACGTAACGCTTGAGGTTATATTCCATCGTATGTTCGAATTTTGAGAGTAAGAGTGAGAGAATCAGCAGCTTTTTGAAGAAAAAATTGAGGTTATATTCCATCAACTGTTCGAATTTTGAGAGGGAGAGAGGGTGGAGAGAAAGAGAAAGAGAAAGAGAGAGAGAGAGAGAGAGAGAGAGAGAGAGAGAGAGAGTGAGTGAGTGGAAGGGAGGGAGGGAGAGAGAATCAGCTGCTTCTACTGTTCAAATTTCAAGATATTTGTGAAGTGAACTTATTCAATCAGGTTTTCAAAATTTAAAAGAAATTTGAAAATATATTCCATGAGTTTTTCTAATGTTAAAAGAAATTATATTCGATCACCTGTTATGACTCAAAGGAAAATCTGTTATTCTATTAAAGTAAAATTTGAATTTTAATCGATTAGCTGTTGAAATTTAAATGAAATCAGCAGCTGTTCAAATAAAAAAGTTGTTACAACAGCTGTTTTATTTTAAGTTCTATTCGATCAGCTGTTTGAATTTAAATACAATTTGCAGTTATATTCGATCAGCCATTTCTCTCACAACAGCTGTTTTATTTGAAAAAAAAATCGACTTGTTGCAACATTTAAAGGGAAATGTGAGGTTTCATTCGATTAATGTTTAAATTTTTAAGATAATTTGAGGTTATATTCGATCAGCTGTTTGAATATAAAATACAATTTGTTGTTATATTCGATCAGCTATTTTAATAATGCAATATGTCGACATCTCACACCAGTTATTTTATTGTACACAAAATATCGACTGTTACAACAGTCGATTCATTTAAAGAGAAATGTGAGGTTACATTCGATCAGATGTTCAAATTTTTAAGATAATTTGAGATTATGTTCGATCAGCTGTTTGAATATAAAATACAATTTGAGGTTATATTCGATCAGCTATTTTAATTTAACAACAGTTGTTTTATTTAAAGGTAAATGTGATGTTACATTCGATCAGCTGTTTCATTTCCAATTATTGTTTGAGGTTATATTCCACCAGCTTCACTTGAACAATATATGACATGCAATATAATAGCAATAAAACAGATATTTATTTACGTAAAATTTGAGTTATATTTGTTCAGTTATTTCATTTCAGTAATATGCTTAGGTTATAACGTTATATTGATATTTTTTGTTGATTTTAATGTACAATTTGAGGTTTTTATTTTAAGCGAGAAATAAAATGTCATGCTGTTTTTACCGTGTCAAGTCCATTTATTTTGCCAGCATGGCTTAGCATTAATCGACTAGACTGTGATGGACGAAATTAAAAAATATATATTATTTGTAATAGTAATTTTAAACAACAATGGTTATTCTTCTTGGTTGGTCAAACACCATACGGAAAGAGAACAAGGCCGAGAGAAAGAGAAGTGAAAAATAAATAATTAGAACATTTAACGTTCTTTTTTTTTAACACTCGCGTTATTTCGTATGGCAGAAGGTCGATTTGTTTTCGGTCCCTGTAGAGATTTTTCTTGAGTTTCACTCATTGTACTGGCCTGTGTCAACCTTGAAAATGTCTCCAAGGGAGGGCAGAAAATTATTTGATTTTTTCGTTTAATTAAACAAGTAATTAGTTGAGAAATAGTTTTTCCTGATCGTTAGCAGCGCGGAAATGGCAAGTGCTATTTAATATTATGCGCCTTCTCGTTTAATGTAGCCGAAGTCAATATAATTGTATTTATCACGGAGAATTATTTTGTTTTGTCGTCACAAGGAATGTGTTGTGTGTTATATCTGAAAACGAGGGGGACGGGGAGAAACAGGGCGGACTGACGTGAAAATGGAAATTCCACTGATTGTTTGTCGACTCAGAAGCGCAACAAGGACGAGCCGGCGAAATTTCTATTTATGGGTTATTTTTCATATCTCCCCCTCCGTAATTCGAGCATGCCAGGGACTTAGATCAAATCCGGTGAGAGTTAAGTGATTTTTTTCAAATAAATCGTATGAAAATCGCTTGGCTTGCGACATATTCAATAATAATATTTTTTCCGAGTTAGCTCAGTGCTAGATGCAACAAATGGGTTATAAAACAGACGCGCAATAAAGTTCGACGTGCATATTAAGTCCGGTCAGGCAGGCGAACCGAACAGGCTTTTTTTCAAAGTCTTGGGCGACGTTTGTTTCCTCATCCAGCCCGGAGGACCAAAGTAAACAGGACAAATATTGGTGGCGGTTCGGGTAATAATAATTTTAAGGCGGTATTTCTAGGATTGCTGGAGGATAAGAAAAGTCTAACAGGGGAGTTCAAAGTTCTATTTTTCTCTAAGGAGCCGCACAGGAATTAACGGCTAATTGGCATTAATTGAATATCAAATTTTGACTCTAGATTTTGTGACTTTTCTTATCGGACCGGAAGACCAGAAATGTAATATTACCTCTTGGGCCATTCTTACAAGAAACAAAAAGTCTTGAAAAATCAAAACCTCACTGTTTTAGATTATGATTTTTATGACTTTTTATATCCACATCGGTGACAAAATTTTTCTACAACATTCTTTATCTAGTCGCAAGAGAAAGACTAAACATTTGATAAAACTGGCTGAACAATCAAACCTTGACTGGTTGGACATCAATTTTGTCTTTTATATCCAGCCCGAAGGAGACCAGAAACCTCCTAAAGGGCGAATGAACCTTCTTGCCCCAAACTCACAGACAAAAAGATATGCTCATAACAACTAAATGTGACTATTATAAATTTTGATTTTTATTACTTTTATTATCCGGCCCGGAGGACCAGAAATTTTTGACAGAACGAAAACATTTTTTACCTAGTTCCAAACAGCTAAATTCCCTTAGAATTTCTTGAAAAACCAAACTTTGACTCTTTGGATTTTCTGACTTTTCATACATATAGTTCATACATACAGACAACAGAAACAAAATTGCCAAATATTTTCTAAAACAACTTGAAAAGGTCAAGATGAAAAGAACTTTTAATTTGACCTGGCATCCTTGGCTTCCTTTATCCAAAGGAGGACCAAAAAAAAACCCTCAAACATAGGAAAAAAACAGACTCTTAATATTCATTTTGAAGGTTTACCTACGGATTTGCTCCGTTTAACCTACTTCCTGCCCGGAGGACCAAAAAACACCCATCACTATTTTCTACTCCCTGCCTAGTTTCTTATGAGCATCAGCTCTTTTTTAATATTGAAATTACAACGTCATGCTTTTAATTAATATATGTAAAGTTTGATTACAATTAAAAAAACTTTTTTTTTTCATTATTCAGTTCAGGTTTTTTTCTTTCTTCTTCGCAAGGTCAATTGATTTTAGGACCTCGTTTATGTAAATTCTTTTAATAGTTCAGAACGGAGAGAGAGGAGACAATTTTCTAAGTGCATGAAATTTTAAAAAATTTCATCCCCTCCCCAACAAAAAAAGACATTTTTTTCTGTTCTTCATATTTTTGTCGACGACGATCAATGTACTGGTTGGGAAAATTTTTCAAATTACACCAACACAACAGTGACTCAAACATTTTATGAAATTTTAACACTTTTGAGTAGTATCTAAGAGTGTAACAATACGGTCCAAAAATTGTAGCATTGAAAATCCCACTGACACTGTAGTAAATTTAAGAACATGGGCCAAAAATTTGAAAGATAAAATTGTCAAATTCCACCAACCCAAAATAAAGGGAAGTCGTAAAATGAATTTAAAAATATGGCACAGAAATTTGAAAACATTTTGAAAATCCCACGAACCCTACAGTAAGTGTTTAAGAATAAGGGCCAAAAATATGAAAGATAAAATTGTCAAATCCCACCAACCCCAAATAAAGATAAGTTGTAAAGAGAATTTAAGAATATGATTCAGAAATTTGACAAAACTATGTAAATCCCACCAAATCTATAGTAAGTGTTTAAGAATGTGGGCCAAAAATTTGAAACATAAAATTTTCCAATCCCACTAACCCTACACTAAGATTTTAAAAATATGGACAAAAATTTGTCAAATACCACCAACCCAAAAATATCTTTATATGTAGTCATGGAATAGGACCTCCTATAGTATGTTTTTAAGGATTTGGCAAAAAAATTGTGGATTTTTAAAACCCACTCACCTTTTTTTGTAAAATACAGGATGTTTCGAGTCTGGTTGGCAAGTTTTGGGTTGGTGTTAGTTTCCTTGTGTTCACTTCTTTTTCTTTTCCCCTCTTGCGAGCGCCGTGTTCGACTGTTAAATGCGCTTTCTTCAGCGGAGGTGTGTTCGCCGTCTGGCTGCAGGTCGGCCACTGGTTCTGAGGGGCCGTCAGCCCTCGCTTTGTCTCCTTGGTGGGGGTCGCAGGGACTCCCGCACCCCCGTCGGCCGGCTCATCGCGTCGACGACCCCGTTCCCCAGGGCATGCTGACTCGGCGAAAAAATTCCCAAAATAAAAAACAAAAAGTAGAAAAAAATAATAAAAACAGAACGGGTGTGGGAGAGGGGAAAAATGCCGATTTTACGACTGTAATATCTCAAAACACGCCGTCATCCTTGGGATTTCAATAAACAAAAAACAATACAAAATAATTAGAAATCAGAGCAAATTATTATTTTCGGTATATGTATTTATTAGCTTTTTTGGTCTTCTATTTGATGTGCAATTTATATTTGTCGAGATTTCTTTTCCTGGTAAAATTATTTTTTTCCGTGAGTGTTTTTCAATATATTTTTGTCATTAAGGCACCTGAGGTTTACGCTCTTATATATTCAAAAATAACAAGTCTTGACATGACATTACTTGACCAACATAAGCCTACATATAGTTAGAACATTTAGAAATAAATTTTTTTTACTTAATTTCACCAATTAAGCCAATATCTTTACAAAATTTCACCTATTAGGCCAATATCTTTACAAAATTTCACCATTTAGGCCAATATCTTTACAGTATTTCACCAATTAGGCTAATATCTTTACATCATTTCACCAATTAGGCCAATAACTTTACAGAATTTCACCAATTAGGCCAATAACTTTACATCATTTCACCAATTAGGCCAATATCTTTACAAAATTGCACCAATTACGTCAATATCTTTACAGCATTTCACCAATTAGGCCAATATCTTTACATCATTTCACCAATTGCGTTCATATTTTTACAGCATTTCACCAATTAGGCCAATATCTTTACATAATTTCAAAAAATAACAAGTCTTGACATAACTTGACCAACATAAGCCTACATCTAGATAAAAAAATGTTAGTTTTTAATGAGAGCTCTTTCTTTCTTTTTTCTTGTTATTGTCCCTTATTTTTCTTGATTATTAACCGTCTATGATAGAACATGAAAAACGTAGAAATATAGCCAAAAAGCCGTTCGTAAAATGCTAAAAATGTCCATTATCGACAAGCATCATTTTAATCCTCTTCTTTCACATTTAAGTTTCCGTTTTCTGATTTTTGCATAAAAAGACGAACCTGGATATGTGGAACCTGGGTTAGTGAGAAATCCTGGATAAGTGATAAATCCTAAAGTCCAAGTACACGATGGTGACAGTTACTGTCACCAGACATACACATGTACTAGAAAACCGAAAGATTTTGCTGTTTCTTGGCAACTGCACAGCTCAAACAAAAATGCCTTAGCTGAAGTATGTAAAATTCATTTTCCTCCCTTTGAATACGACCAGCAAATTGCAACGGGCATCACCCACAATTTCAAAAAGTTTTGTAGAAAAGAGGTTTTACGTTTCCTCGTGCGATACATGGAAGATAACTCCAATCTTTTCCTCAAGTCAACCTTCGATTTGCCAGAACGGGTCGGTACTGGGTCACAGCTATCTCTAATTGGTTGAGAAAGTGTTGTTTTGTTAATGACGTCGCCGAAGAACATGAAGTTTTGGTCACAAGTCTCGAGGAAGATTGGATGACTGCGTTGTCCACCGTGACCGACGACGTCCCAGATTTTGATGATTTCGTATGGGTTGACGACAAGTGCGCCTGACGGCAGGTGAGCACGATACTGAGGAAATTGACGAGGGCCGCCAGTTTCGAAAAGGCAAGCACTTCAAACAGTGGGCACATGAGATTTTTTGAATAACAAGGTGGAAACACAGGTTTTCCATAGGCTACTTGATCTTCAAAGAATGGTGATCAAGACAGACACTGAAATCAAGCCACCGATTTCATCAAACCAAATTGATTCATGTGACCTTTTGACATATATACTCACCTATAAATATGTAGTACATACAACATTGTCTATGTACATTACTGCACAACGTACAATACTGATGAGCTGATGGCTAAAAAACCGGAATTTTCGACCTAAAGGGCTGAGGCGATTAGTTGAACAATGACAAACAAAGCCCTTGTGTACTCAATTAAAATAGATTTGGGAGGAAGTGATCTGTGCACGACCAGATGCAAAAAACAACACCTTTGGATTTGGATTTAAAGATACTACTAAAATTTGCTTAGCTTGGAAGTTACCTTACGGCATTGAATTGCCAGATAACTTAGGTACCTTAATAGTTTAAGGGTAGTGGTTTTCGTGCACCGATAGCCTATGAAAAGGTTACGACCACACGTAACGACGCGGCATATCTTTATCAAAATGAGGTTCATGCTCAACTTGAAGAAACATAAACCAATACTTACCCGATTAATGCAAAGTTTATTCTGACAAATGCGCACCCCCCGCCCTTTGCTTGCACCATAATTGGCATGTCAATTTTTACTGCACGCTGCAGGACAAAAATTATGGGCATAGCTCCCAATGACTATGTGAAATGCGTTGTTTTCTGTTTTCATCCTGGAAAAGTGAACACAAACTACTCCGAACCTGGGTAAGTGAAAAACCACTATAAATGACATCTGATGACCTAGTCTTCAGCGTTTATCTCTTATTCAGGTTCGACTGAATTATCTGTTATAGATATTATCCTTATTAAAAAAATATATATACATAAATAAAGTATTACTTCAGTCAGTTCATAAGTTTATTTCATGAATTATTTAGTTGATACGGAATTAAATACAAATGCGTATGTCGAGTGCCACAGGAAAGAGATATTAGAATTTTTTTTTAAATATTTTCAATTGTTTAAGTAAGGTATTGGTTGAGATAAAAAAGTCAGTGTCACGAGCGGAATTCGAACCCACGACCTTCGGCTAAATACGTCACGATAGCTCAAGTGGTAGAGCAGCGGCGTTAGCCGAAGGCCGTGGGTTCGAATCCCGCTCGTGACACTGACTTTTTTTATCTCAACCAATACCTTACTTAAAGATTAATTAATTGAAAAGAATTTATTTGGTCAACCGGACCACGAAACCTAATAGATTTTTAAATATTCTGTTAGCAGAACTAAAAAAGTGATTTAACTGCCCTGGATATAATTAGCAGGGTATAGTGGGCACGTGAAAAAAAAAGGTTTCTTTCGTTGTAGAATTAATTTCATGTCGTTACATGCGTTATTGTTTCTACTGATTAATTCATTTTTAATGTTGAGCCATTTAAATTTTACCGAAGAGACCGATTTGGATAAATTGTACTACAAAAGGGAGAGTGGACACTCATCAAGGCGATTTGATTTGCAAATTGGCGGCCGGGGTTAAAACAACAAATTGCGGATGTTGGGGTTTATATTTTTTTTTAAATATATAAATATAATTAATTATTATACCCTCTCTCTGACTAAAAAATTTTCCCATGTTGTCAAGGCAGTGCTCGGACTAAGGAGCGAAACGGGTCGGACCCACGAGACCTTTGATCCAAGGATCTCACACCTCCGCCCTTGGATAAGGTGCCCATCTGCTTGACCCGTTGGTCGTTGTATTTTTTCCCAAAGGGCATTGTTTTTCTGTTCATAAAATCGGCGTGTCACTGTGTTATAAAAGTTTTAACGATCCGACCCGGGGCGAAAGAAAAAACGGAAATGTCCGTCTTTCTTTTTAAAGGGTGTAATCCGTAATACAGTTTTGTTTGATTTTTCTCTCTCTCTCTCTCTCTCTCTCTCTTTCTCTCTCTCTCTCTCTCTCTCTCGCTCTCTTTCTCTTTCTCTTCCTCTTTAGGTTGAACCATTGGAAGAAAAACTGGCCTGCCAAGTATAAACCGGTTTAGAAAATAAAATTGTAGGTCGTTTTTAGAATGTGCAGAGCAAAAATATTGGATTTCATCTTGGTCCTCTGACGTCAATGGATTTTTTTTTGCACTTGGAACAAGCTCTAGTAGAAATGTCGCCCACCTGTTCAAGTTCTGCCATGATTATTTCATGCGGCTCTTACACGATCAATAATATTGACGATACAGTATGATATTGACAATAATGTTGATTATTTCATGTGGCCCTTATACGATTAATAATACTGGCGATACAGTGTGATACTGAAAATAATGTTGACTATTTCATGCGGCTCTTACACGATCAATAATATTGACGATACAGTATGATATTGACAATAATTAAATTCACTAATTTCGTGGTCCGCTTGACCAATTAATATATTATAATTAATTAAGGTTTTTAGTTGAGATAAAAAAGTCAATGGCACGAGCGGGATTCAAAAAAATTGAAAAATGGCAAAAAGGAGGGAAAATTCAAAAAGGTGCGGTTGAGATGGGAGGTTGGTGTCCGAGTGGTCGAGGTCACGATAGCTCAAGTGGTAGAACAGCGGCGTATCAAGCCAAAGATCGTGGGTTCGAATCCCGCTCGTGCCATTGACTTTTTTATCTCAACTAAAAACCTTAATTAATTGTAATTGACAATAATGTTGATTTTTTCATGCGGCCCTTACACGATCAATAATACTGGCGATACAGTGTGATATTGACAATAATGTTTATTATTTCATGCGGCTCTTATACGATCAATAATATTGACGATACAGTATGATATAGCCATCCACATTACTAACAAATTACTGTTATCAAACCGTGATTCTGGTTGGACAGACAGGGCACTGCCACTTAAGGAAGCACTGCCACCCAAATTACCCTAAGGCATCCCGACAGAACTTCCCCAAGTACAAAATGTGGATGGAATCACCAAATAAATAATCTTGACAGAATTTCACTGATCGAAAAATCGTTAACAAAATTTACTAAATGGTAGCGTTTCCCTGGGTTCGGTTCCCCTTGGCATCGTGTCAAGGCATTGTATTCAAAGGCCCTTTGGGACAAAATTTTACCAAATGTCTTTCTTATGTATTGCTTTGTGCCGACCCATTTTCGACATAGCAAAGGATTTTGTAGTATATTCAACCTAGATCTGTTTTACGCCCGGATCAAAAAGAAGTTAACCGTTTTGATGGAGTGAGAAAAACGTA